GCTGTAACATGCTGTAACATGCTGCAGCGCGCGGTAACACGCTGTAACACGCTGTAACATGCTGTAACATGCTGTAACATGCTGCAGCGCGCGGTAACACGCGGTAACACGCTGTAACATGCTGTAACATGCTGTAACATGCTGTAGCACGCTGTAACACGCTGTAACACGCTGTAACACGCGGTAGCACGCTGTAACATGCTGTAACACGCTGTAACACGCTGTAGCACGCTGTAACACGCGGTAACACGCTGTAGCACGCTGTAACACGCTGTAACACGCTGTAGCAGGAACATGGCTCAGATGGTAAACTGCTCAGAGACGCACTGCAGCAGGTGTTTCTGACTCACGTGTACAGTCAGCGTGTGCAACTTCAGCATCCAACCTTCACTAGTGGTTTGTCTGCTCGAGGATAGGCCGATGCATCATTACAGGAAGCACTGACCCAGAGCACTAACAGTCTCTCTCTGCACCCACCCTGCGTGCCTCCTGCTGGAATTTGGCAGCCTTCTTGGTGTCGGCCACGGCTCTCTCTACAAAGCCCACCGACTGGTCCATGTTGCTTTCGATCCTGTCAATCATCCCACCCTAACAGGGCACACAACACAAAGTTAATGAAAGTAAGATTTGTGCCTGTCTGCTGTTTACACAGGAAGTGGGAGCGTACCCCACTGTGTCAGAAACACGGCACGTGTTTTATTACACATGACTTTTCTTATCGGCTGCACACTGAAGCTTCAGTCATGAAAGGGCTTAGTCACAGTTAAACAGTTAAACAAGCTCTGTGGGCTTTTTGGGAAAACAGGGCGAGAGTTACTGTTGAAAAACTTGTGCTGTGCACGACTCTATGTAGAACTAAACACGGCTACTATTCAATTTTACAAACCATGCAAGTCAGCAGGAAGTGGAAGGCACAGTTCCTTTACAGCCTGCATGTTTTATAACACGGCTAAAATGGAAGAACACTTTGGGCTGCAGCGTCTCACAAACCTGGTTCTCAACCAGCATGGCAATATCAACAAACATGTCGTGGAGTTCTTTGATGCTGCTCTCCAGCCTCATGATGTCTTTGTGACGAGCCTCAATCTCATTCAGGGCCTGCTGGTTGATCTTAGAGTCCATGATCTGTGGGGGAGGGAGTGTGAGGTGACCTGAGACGCACAACTTAAAACACCACAAAGAAGTGCATGTTCACAAACAGAGGGTCTGCTAGTGCCGAACTACAGGTTAAATGGGCGACCGTGGCTCAGGGGGTTGGGAAGCGTATCTGTAATCGGAAGGTCACCGGTTCGATCCCCGGGCTCTCTGTCCTGGTCGTTGTGTCCTTGGGCAAGACACTTTACCCTACCGCCTACTGGTGTTGGCCAGAGGGGCCGATGGCGCGATATGGCAGCCTCGCCTCTGTCATTCTGCCCCAGGGCAGCTGTGGCTACAACTGTAGCTGCCTCCACCAGTGTGTGAATGTGAGAGTGAATGAATAGTGGCATTGTAAAGCTCTTTGGGTGCCTTGAAAAGCGCTATATAAATCCAATCCATTATTAATTACAGTTAAAAATTATTATTATTATTAAATCACATCTACCTGTAAGTCCAGCTAACATCTCCCAGTTTGGTGTAACGACACTAAACAGTAAGAAACGAGCCTACACAACAAACACACACCGAGACCAGCAGAACATCACTGCCGATCAAATACACAACAATTTGTTTTCTGTTGATTAGCTGACTGAATTATTTCTCCTTATAATTAAAATAGTCGTGATATGAAAGTTGTGCTGACCCATGTGCTAGAACAGTCTACAGCTCTGAATCACAACAACAGTCACCTCAACGTGCTGTAAAGTAGAATTCCTACAATAACAGACAGGAAACTGCCACAGTCATGTGACCCCCTACGAGCAAGCACTTGGCGACAGTGGGAAGGAAAAACTCCCTTTAAACAGGAAGAAACCTCCAGCAGAACCAGGCTCAGGGAGGGCGGCCACGGTTGTTTCCCTGACAAGTTTTCATGTAACACACAGAGAGGATCATATGGAGATGTCATTAAATGACAGTGGAGATCACAGTGACACCATCGAACACAAACCAGGACTGTGACAATACTTCCTGGTTATAACAGCCTCTGCGCTCCACAACCCACTGAGAGTTCGTGCCTCTGGCCAAAGACGCTGGTTTGCTGCAGGTGTTTGTGTGCGCATGCATGCGCATGCATGCACATGCACATTCATGCACATGCACATTCATGCACATGCATGCAGGCTTACCCCTGCTGTGAAGACTGCAGAGTTTCCTCCCTCCAGCATCTCATCCAGCTCCTCATCAGTCGTTGTTTTTCCAGCTGAACAGAGACAAGAACTTGTTCATGCAACAGCCAGTAAAAGCATCACTGTACACACAACAGTGATTACACTGAGAATACTACGAGGAGCCTGTTGTACTAATACTTTGATTGATGTAAAAGGTGATTGTTGACCTTTAGGGCTGACGTGGTGACACAGTAAAACCATAAAAACACTATTTTTACACACACGGCTCTTTGGACTCAGATATTTGTCATCTTATTTAAAAACTAAAACATGTATCTGAGCACAGTACACAACAATAAGTTGGCACATAAATATGTTGAAAGCATAGCAGCTGCCAGTGCTTAAAGAAAGTCAAATTCCCTTTAGTCTGAAACTGATCAAACCTACGATAGAGGACAGGAGAAGCGTTAGCGCCGTGACGAGGGTGCAGGGAAACGACTGTGAGGAGCATTTAGATCATTTATGCTGTGAATCTCTTCACATATTGTAAAAAAGGGAAAACATAACGGATCCTGAAGCTGTGGTTTCCTCCACATCAAGCTTAAACACAACCACATCATCAGCAGCACTCACTGATCTCCAGCTGGCGGGCGATGCGTCCCTTGCTCTTGTCTCTGAAGTCCACCTGAGCCTCGTTGTACTTCGTCATCACCTCTACAAACTTTTTGGCCAGAATTGCGTGCTGGGGAGACAAGAACAGACACTCCAATGACAGGCTCACACACGGTAGTGAAGTTTACAGAGGACAGACGAGTGAGACTCTGAATGTAAAAGGATGTGTGTGTGCAGCTTGCTGCACTCGGTGAATCTGAATGTGACATGTGGATGTTTTAGGCATCAAAAGAGAAGCAGTAGCATGCTCCGCTCTCGTCTGTCGTTGGGTCGGGGGAATCAGAGCTACTGCACGACTGCCTGACCTGTGACTTGCGTATCCTGAGGTCGGCCGACGCCCTCTCATCGGTGTTTGACTCCAGCTGGCGCTCGATACCTGACGCACACACAGACAATGTTCACCACTGCTTTTACTCACACATGTAAACAAAACGTGATCACACGTATGTTTGTACAAATGGGAACCAGAGAAGGAAACCAAACCAATACCGACTCTTCAGTTTGTTTCTTGCGTTGTTGGCTGACTTTTTAATCTCGTTGGTGAGGGCCTCGACATCATCCTGTGTTTCTGCAAGAGGTGGAAATGGAGCATCACACACACTGAGAATCACAGGCTGCACATCTGAACATGTTATCAGCATTACTCTGGTCGGAGGTCGGAGCCGACAGGATGGTGGAGTAGAGCTTCTTGATCTCTGTGACACTCTCGTCAATCTTATCAATACTGCTGCGGATGTCTTCAATCTGAAAGACGCGCACACACACACACACGCACACACACGCACACACACACACACACACAC